TGAGAAATTATGATACACAATTGAAATTTTTTTATATTCTTTTCAATTTTTGTTTTAGTGATATTTACATTTTATTTATTCTTATATTTTATGCATCTGGAAAGTTTGCTATAGTTAAGTAATGTTTTGTATAATAATCTAATTATATTTATTATACAGATGTAAGCAGGGGTACTTGGTATTGGGAAGCCACCATTGAAGAAATGCCAGAGGGATCTGCTACGAGACTCGGATGGGGACAAGAATATGCAAACTTACAAGCTCCACTTGGCTATGACAAATTTGGTTACTCATGGAGATCCAGGTATTGCATATCACCATTAGACAGAGTATGAAAAAAGTTGCGGATCCCTTAATATCTTGAAAAGTAAGCATTTTTGTAAAAAAATTTTCATACCAAAGTTATAGGGTTTCAAGTGGTGCATTACAGTAATAATAGAATCATTTCGGATACCATTCTCAACGTAAAAATCACCTGTTTTTACAGAAAACCCCCCCATTTTTTATTACATATTCTTATAACTGACTTCGAAAGTTTTTTCTCTTAGTTTTCTAGAGAAACACTATAATAAATACACAACTAATAGGAAATAAAGCCCATAATGATCAAAGTTCATTGATCAAGTCCAGTGATCTTTAGTACTTAAATAATTCGTGAATTTATACACCACGTATCAAATTGCTTCAATGATCTAAAAGGCTTAGCATTAAAGGCTTAAGATGCTCGCACGAATGAAAAAGATAAAGATTCAGATTCGATCCCCAAGTGAGGCAATATTTCGTAATAAATTATTTACAGATTTTAATATGTTTATCGGCATCTTTAAGATTTTTTTAAGATGCCTATGAATGTCACATTATTAAATTGCAAGGCAATTTAATTTGTGATAGTATTACGGTAACTTTGTCAATGTAGTATTTCAAGATCGAAAAATCAATTCGGCAAGTAGTTTGGCAGGATTTGATCGTGGTATATAAATTCACATATAATTCGAATTATATGAGCTAAAGATCCAACTGTTATGAGCTTTATTTTCTATTAGTTGTGCATTCACATGTACGCGGTCAAAAATAAGATTCTCATTATAATAAAGATTTTTTTAAATCAGTACTTTTCAAGTTCTTTTCAACTTCCTAAAGTATTCTTTTCAAGAAAAGAAAACAAATGTAATTTTTTATAGAAAAGGAACACGATTTCACGAAAGCCGTGGCAAGCATTACAGCGACAGTTATGGTGAGGGTGATACCTTGGGCTTCCTTATAGTTCTCCCAGATGCACATGATGCATCACACATTCCGAATACTTATAAAGACAGAGTGAGTACAGCAAACCTATTTGTAAAAATTAAATTAATAAACATATACATATACGTATTATGTACTTATTATTATGTATACTGTATATAATATACATAATACACATACATATATGTATTATATATACTATATACAATATACATAATAATAAGTTAAATTTAGTAAACCGGTATAAATTATTTATAAATAACATAAATAAGCATCAAATATGACCGAGTTGCTTAAAAAAAAATATATATATATATAAATGGATGATTTTTTAAATAAACAACTATGTTTTTTTTATCAATTTGATTCACATTATTCTATTCATAAAGATATTAAAGTACAATTATCAAAAAATTAATAGTTTACGACATTTAATATTTTATGTCAATTATGGGCCAGAATAAAATATAAAATTTCTCGTAAATCATTGATTTTTCGATAACTTTACTTTTATATGCGGAATAATCAGAGGAATCATATTATAAATAAAATTAAACAATGTCATTAAAAAAGATGATGATACTTGTTATATGGCCTTAAAAAACTCGATTTTTCGAAAATTAATTATGTCAATATTTGGATCCCTTTAAATTGTAGAATTTTTATCTGAAACATTTTTGCGTATTATTCATATTTTCTGAGATATTCGACTCATCATGTTTGAAATAGATCATCCTGTATAATTTTTAACCGAAATTTCGATCGAACTCTAGTTATAATAATATAATTATTCTTTGTATGATTTTGTTACTGAAATATTTGCATATAATTAAAAAATGAACTTTTTATAAAAATATATCTAATAATTATTACGTATTTTCCGATTTATAAATTAGCCTTTAGTAAAGTTCAAGAGCCACTTATATTACGAGGAAAAAGATCAAGTACAGGAAACTCTAAAAGCTCTACGGCCTTTAGAAGGTAGCAAAATTATATATTATAAAAACGGAATCAACCAAGGTGATGCCTTTGTAGACATCAACAAGGGCGCATACTATCCAGGGATTTCACTATATAAGAGCGCGATGGTTTCTGTGAATTTTGGACCGAATTTTAAATATCCTCCAACAGATGTTACGTTTAGAGGCGTAAGTAAACATTTTTTACTGTAGTTCAAGTAAATTCATGTCTTTACTGCTATCTAATAATTGACAATATTAATTCATAATCGTAGATGGTACTTTATACCTACATATAGAAAACATATAGAATTTTCAATTCATATCGTCGGCTTAAAATAAACTTTGCATTTATATTACTCAAGATGTGTGCAATTAATTGATGTTAGACTAATAAGTTATTCGAACCAACGCTAGAAGTTAAATGCTGATAAAAAAGAAGTCAATATGTCATGTCATATTTAAATGTTTGACTTTTATGGTCTTTCTCAATGATATAACATTTTATATAATAAAATCTTTTGAATCTTTGAATATCGCCACTTTTTTATAGTTTTTAAAATGATAAATTATCTTCATATACTCACAATTAATTAAAATCATCATATCAGATTAATTTATTGTATATTAATTTATCCTCAGACTTTATTAAATTGCATCAAACTCAAGTTATTCTAATAACATTTTCGGCCCGACCGGACTTACACCAACTTGTTAGAAACGTACTATCAATAATCTTGAGGAATCATTACACTGTCCAATAATAATAATAATTTCATAGGTACAGTACCCTCCAAATTTGAGAACACCTTACGTTTTTTAGGTTTGTAATTATTTAAATGAAAAAGACGAAATAAAAATACATACATACGTATGTTATTTATAATGCACATATGTATGTATTTTTATTTTGTCTTTTTTCAATTAAAGATTTGATAATATGCTATTAAAATATGGAATTTTAATAAAAATGTGATTCATACGAAATCTGATTCTTCATTTTACAATTTTTGCGGAGTCTGAAATCAACTCAAATATTTTTGCAACTCAAATATTTTACCACTTTTATACCACTTAGAAAACGTTAAAATACAATTAAATGTGAATATACAACGAACACAAGTATGACGTTGCAAAACAAATGACAAAATGCATATAAACAATCAAAGCGCGAAATTCAATCTTGAGTGCTTCGATGCTGCAAAATGATTGTCCAACATATTTTCGGCATGTACAAGCTTATAGATGTTTTAGATAAAAGTTTATCATCATTTAGATCACGTTTTATAAATATAATATCTAAATGATGATAATGAAGTATTTAAATCAAAAATCGCTGTCAAATGAGATTGCTGTCATGTAATGGCTTTTCAGTAAAACGTAGGTGTGTTCCTAAATTTATGGAGGATACTGTATATTTAGACCATACCGAAATCAATTCATTAACAAAAAATATCTATAATTCTTTCTCTTATATACTTGTATTCACGGGACAAAATATTCAAAAATTGTATTTAAATACAAAATATTCAAAAAAATTGTATTTAAATATAAAATATTCTTAAAAAAGTATTTAAATACAAAATACTCTCAATAAAATAAAAATGTACTTAAATACGTATTTTAAATACATATTGTATTTCATACTACCCACTCTTGGCTGAGATACAACGCTAGAGATTGTTGTTCACTAAATGTAAACAAGAATAAATGATGCATTATGCACATTATGTGTGAAATGGAACGCATTTTAGATTGAACAATGCAATTTTAATTTTAATAAAAAAAATTGTTACATAATTTAAATGTATTTAGTATTCACAATTTTAAAATACAAAATACTAAAAAAAAATATTTAAATGCAAATACAAAATATTCTAAAAAAAAGTATTCAAATACAAAATGTATTTAAATACATGTTTTTCAAATACTGCCCAACCCTGCTTGTATTAGTCATCAAACTTTCAATTTTACAAGGATTTAGCAGTTTTTTATAATTCTAAATAACATCAATAATTCTTACTAATGTTACTAACATTAAATAATTATCATAGATGCACGAGAAGGCGGAGGAAGCGATAGCCGAGCAGTCAATGGCGGACATACTCTATCTTACCGAAAATGAAGGCAAATTAAGACTGGACACATTCGTATTGTGACATTAGTGCATCTTTTTATTTTTGTCATTTTCGTTATACATTATGCAATTACAATTGCAGGGATGGATACAACAATACATAGAGCAAAAACAAAAAAAGAAAATGAATTATGAGAAATTTTTAAATTTATTTGTGAATATGTGCATGCTTACTAAAACTTTGATCTTTTTAGTAGTGAAATAAATTCAAAGAAATGAAGGGAAGAACGTTGAATATCAATTAAAAACTTGTGCTTCATTGTATTGTTGAACCAAAATCTTGCAATTAATAAAAGATCGAGTGCAACAATAGTTGAGAAGACGCTTCAAATATTTTTTGAGAAAATGAATCCTAAAGTTATGACTGATGAAATGATATCTTTGAAATGATATCTTTGATGAAATGATATTGATGAAATGATTAATAAACTCTTGATTTTTTATTATTTTTATCTCTGTATTACAATAAATATTTTAATTCTGTTCCATGTTCCGATTTTTCAAATTAAAAAGTTTCTTCATTATCTGATTTTGTCTGATATATGCAGAAAGCATTTCATACATAATTATCTTATTTAATAAAAGAAAAATATTTATGTAAATTGCAGCGGAATATGTTTATTATGTGATACTTATGCTATATAAATTATTTTCGCAACTTAAATTATTACCTTTATATTTATAATTAATCATTAAATCATTACACGTTACTTTCCAAAACCGCCCCTGCAAGCAGGACTCGCGGCCACTGTTTTATTGCTTGCTTCCCATTGCTCTGGTGTTTTCGCCTTGAAGATAACAATAATATACGTAACAATAATTTTTTTATCTAGCCCATTTTAAAAAGAATACTTTTTAAAAAGAGTATTTTTCTTTCATGCTAATAGTGAAGAATTAATTAATAAATAATAGTCATCACTTACTATAATCGATAGAGCATGTACACTTCCTTGCAGTTCTGCTTGCAATAACTGGTTTATCATTCGGTGTCGCTAAATTAATAATTAATTCAGGTATCCTTTCCATTATACTAAGTATACGAAATAATATCTAGTTTTTAATCTCGTAATTATATAAGTTCATAAATGAATATCATTTATTTTTTATTATTTTATTTTTATTATTATTATTTTATTTGCTTCAAATAATGCTATTATTTTTCATATGATTTATTTTTGATACATCTTATATTTTATCCCATAATTAATTAAAATTTTTTTTTAAGAGGTGTAAAATCAATTATTAAAATGAAACATTTAATAAGAGAATACTAAAAATTGATGGTACTTGCCTTGATCAATGGCTGCTTGTCAAATGTTTCTGCTACAACCACTACCTTAAAATGTGTCTCAGAGTTTTTGGGAACATTGTGCATATAGGATTCATTAATAACTTCGCAGTGAAGAGGTTTTAGTGCAACTTCCAACTTTTCCTTAATTGAACTTTCTATAGGCCTGATGAGTGTTTCACAACTACTCATGTCTTGTTGATGACGAATCATACTGCAATCTATATTATTGTTTTATTATTCAATTAATATTAATATCTATCTTTATTACAAATAATGTGCATTAGGCAAAAAGGTAAAAAGTACCAGTAAATAAGGATAAATTGTGCCTTACAAAACCTAAAGTAACTTTTAAAAATCCTTCGTCTTAAGAAGTATAAAAATAAGCTATTGACTGCGTTCAGCAAAGCTTTACAACTGTTGCAAAATTCTTTAGTAAGTAATTGGTTCCATCGTGAAATAGAATTTGGCCTTATTTATTGGTACTCCTTATATTTAAATGCTAAGATTTCTATTTAAAAAATAAAACATATCTGCATTTATATTAATTGCTATGATCAGAGTATCTTAAGATGTTAGAATGAAAATTACTGAAAGATACTACTTATAGATACTAGTTACTTATAGATACTAGTTACAAATAGGATACGTAAAGATACTAGTTACAAATATAGTTTACTTAAGAGACTTATAGAAAAATAGGTTGAAAAAATCTAGCTAATGCCCAATTTCTTCCAGATAAGTTGCGAATAATCTTATCCAGGAGATATCTCTATGTCTGGAAGATATCTCTTGGATAAAGTTATCCAGAGGTGAAGAAATTGGACATAAATATTTCTATAAGCATGATATTAACAATATTATGATATTAACAATATATTAGTAAATTGCCAGCAGATTAAAACAGATTATTGTGATAAAAATATCAGCTATGTTTATACTAAAGTATTCTACAATTGCATTAAATTAACCAATTACAATCAAATATTCTTCTCATGTTGTAAAACATTCTTCTCAACTGTAGTTGGTCAATTACAATTGCTTACAACTATGCTTATGGAATTGTAAAACAAGTTTAAGCCTGTATTCTACAATCAGAATTTGTTGATATAAAGTACTTTCTATTTAGTGATACAAGTCGATACAAGTATCTATCTTTGTTACTCTCTGAATATCAAGAAAAATAGAATGATATTTGTGTGGACTTGTGTCACTAAATGGAAAGTATCTATTATTTGACAGTAAATTGCCCAGGAATTAAATAAAGCCTGTTAATTGCTAATCATTTAAGTGGAATATCATTAAAATGATTACAAAATCTGTTCGGTTTCTGCAGTCAATTGACCATTATATTTCATTAATAGATTCTGTTATATTTCTGTTGACATTCTGCTAATGAAATTAAGTAGCATATGCTTTGCGAAATCTGTTGCTGACAGATTTGACTGATTTGACTAAAATGAATGTTCACTGATGCTCACTCCTTATAGATTTTAACGAAATTTTGTTCACATGTGTATTTTAATGTATAGAATAAGCGTATGATAATAAAAATCATCACTAGGCATTGCGAGTTGCAAGAAGAGCAATCAACCATTAATAAGTGATATTTTTAAGGTTAGGAAGGTTAAGGTACCTTTATAAGTCTTCCAATATAACACGTTTTTATATAATTATCTTATAATTACTTGCAACTAATTACTACGTTATATGTATAAGAAATAAATTTTTAATTAAAATACACGTACAATAATATTTGCTCTTGTAGAGGAGAAGCAGTAATGAAAATGCTTAATCTTAGTTTAGAGTATATAATTCTAATCGTCTTTTAGACGTAAAACAATTTTAATCACTTTAAATACTTACTTTTTTTAAGTATTAATCTTATCGGGCTTGCTTTATGCATTTATTTAGTTTATGTGTGTGTGTGTGTGTGTGTGTGTGTGTATATAGATAATTGTTCAGTTTAGTTACGTCACCTCAAAAATCGATAAAATTAAGCTCCTTCAACGCGTTTTTGATCGAAACGAACGAATCTGGCAGAAAAACTCGCCCCGTAATTTGAGATATTTAATCGTTAAAGTTCACGACTATTTAGGTTAGAAAATCTGTCAGCCACAAAATACTGCGATGCGAGCAGCGAGCATGCATAAAGCGGAGAACACAACTCTTATATAACGCGTATACATAAGAAATTCAACCAATCAGAGTTCTTTATTTCATGCAAAAAGAAGAAAACGAAATGTAAATGAGTGATTTCTTAAATCGATTATCGCATCAGCGATTTTATTTCTATCGGAATTAAACTCGCTAGAGAATCAAATACTTGGAATTTATCGAGAATTGTCATTCGAGAATCGGGGAATCAAAGAAATTCAAGTAATGGTTAAAATAATATATGTTTAATGCAATATTTATATAATAATACATTACAATGTATAACAAGAAATTCTTTTACAGTAATTTATTTCATGTTTGTTAAGTCGCCTCAACCATATCAGAATCGTAATACTATAAGCGAGAAATGATACATAAAAATTTCTTGTATCAGAAGTTATAATTTTTCATACTTATAATTATAATATTATACTTATAATTTAATATTTATAATTAATAGATATTTGAAATTATGCGCTTACATTTCCGACAATAAAGCAATTATTATTATATAGATCAATCTTAATATGAAACAATTACTCTAAGTGACGCAAGTATAATTAACATAATCTTTTTTTGTACTTTTTATGCATTTACATTCAGGACTCAATAATACATTTAGTATTTATTTTAATAAATAGCATTACTCAATACTTTTTTTGTTATGTATCTGATTATCGCTCGATGATATGGAATGTCCGCTTCCTATTATCTTGATGTATTCAATGATATTTTCGGTATCATTATTGGAATGTCCATTGCCATTTGATCCTTGCTGTTCTTTTGCTTTAATTCTTTCTACAGGCAACGCCTCATCATCATTATCAGAATCCTCAAATTCGTCGGAATCAATTTCTAAATCTAGCATGGTTTTGCGTTTATTGGGTTTATTGTTCTCTTCCTGCTTCCTTTTGATACCCGATGTGCTCGCAGCTTTGAACCCTTCTTCTATGGCATCTCCAACTTTCTCAGTCAATTCCGCACGTTCCTGGTCGTAACGCTGATCTTTAAATTCATGTTTTGGCTCGGTGCAGAGTTTTTCTAACTTCTTTTTCTTACGTTCCACTTCCTCTTTCTCTCTCTTGGCTTGTTTATCAATCCAAGCTTTCAGCCTCTTTTCTTCATTTATATCGCGCAATCTGCGACCGCTAAGATCTCTGCAAGCTTCGCGATTTGTGGTTTTCTCAATCTGCGCACCTATCGCGCGTAACATAGATCCAAAACCACCTTTGCCACCCAACAGTCTTGGAACCACAGTTGCATAGCCATTCGAGCAGATATCATCTTCCTGTACAAGTCGACCATTGTGCAGGACATAATATTGATCACGTGAAAGATTCTGAAAAAAAAAGAATTATTGATCCATGTGATATTTTTTTGTTAGTCTTATATTTAATAAGTTTCTCCCATAACTTAAATTTTGATAAA